TCATTATAAACACCAAAAATGTTTGCTTTACAAGACAGCAAATTCTGTTCAGTACAAGAATTATGCCAGAGATCCAGTGCTACAGGTCATTAACAGGTATCAGGGACCTGAGTTTATGCTAAATGAAAAATGTTTGAGGCAGAATGTAAGGTATGGATGACCAGCATGATTACTTCTAAAGCTCACATCCTTTGACCCCACTAAGCCATATGATTATGTCACTTCATTAATACTTTATCTGAGTCAATCCATCTACTGTTTTGCTTATAAACATTTATGTTATAGCAGAGAAAGGAGCTCCTACTTCCTATAACACTAAGTGATTAAGTATATGAGCCCTTAGAAAGAGGTGGGTAAGATAATACTTGAGGTTCCAAATAGGTATGGGCAGTATAATCCCATCATGTAGAAAGACATGTAAATTGACACTAACAGATGGCATAATGGTTATGTTGCTGGGCTCCCCCATAGTCAACCTCAGTTCAAGTCCCGGACCTGGCAGCTTAAAACTCACACTGGTTGTGTGTGCATGTACATGCATGCCCAAATCCCAAAAGGAGAATGGAGGAGAAGGGATTGTGGTGTGGGCATCCCCCTGGGGGTGATTTCTCACTTTCTGTCTCTCTGGCAAGTACACATGCTCTATAGCAAAAATCTCTCTAAAAAGAAAAGAAAAGAAAAAGGAAAGGCATGTAGAGAAAAAGGTCACAGTATGGATAGGTTTACTGGGTAACCAACACTTCTAATTGGTGGGATTATAGGTGATTGGTTTTTACAAATTTAAAGTGATAATGTTTAAAGGTAGGGAAAAAGACATACACACTTTTATGTATTCATTATTGTATTATTCAGCTTGGGTTTCCAAACAAATACCACAGAGTGAGTGGCCTAAATGATAGAACTTTATTTGCTCATAGTTCTGTATGTTAGAAGTCCTAGGTCAAAGTCCAGCAAGGTAGGTTCTAGTGAGGGCTCTCTTCCTGGCTTACAGATGGCTACCTTCTTGCTGAATCTTCACAACAGATTTTTCTCTTTTCTCCTCTTCTTATAAGGTCACAGTCTTAGGGACCAGCAGATGGCATATGGTTACGTCACTGGACTCCCACATGGCCGACCGTGGTTTTGAGTCCCAAACACAGTGGCTTGAAACTCATGCGAGGCACATATACATGCAGGCCCAAGATGCCAGGAGGAGAATGGAGAAGGGATTGCAGCGTGGCCATCCCCCTGGAGGGTGATTTCTTTCTCCTCACTGTCTCTGTCTCTCTCTCCCCAATGAGCGTACACACACACACACACACACACACACACACAAACCAGTCTTAACTGGATTTGGATCCAACTTTTATTATCTTATTTAACCTTAAGTATTTCCTAAAGACCCTATATCCAGATATAATTGTATTAATGGTTAGGAATTCAACATATTAATTGAGGATGAGGGCCATTATTCAGTGCATAGCACTTATGCTCATTATAAACACCAAAAATGTTTGCTTTACAAGACAGCAAATTCTGTTCAGTACAAGAATTATGCCAGAGATCCAGTGCTACAGATCATTAACAGGTATCAGGGACCTGAGTTTATGCTAAATGAAAAATGTTATGTATGGCTCACCTTCAGTGGTGTAGGTGGTAGCATACCAAACCACAGTGCTGGAAGCTACATGGCTGAACATAGGTTCAGATCCTCATTTAGCCTTAAAACACTCTGGGTGCATATGCACCCAAAATTATGAAGAGCTAAAGAGCTAGGGGAGGGGCTTTAGATATGGCAAGACCCTATTGAGGCTGCTTCTCTCTCTCATGAGTATGTGCATACACTTTGTTTCATGAGGAAAAATAAACTAAAAGAAAAATGTGATGGGGCCAGCAGATTGCATAGTGGTTACATCACTGGACTCCTACATGGTTGACCATTGTTTGAGTCCTGGACCCAGTGGCTTGAAAATAATGCCAGGGACCTATGCATGTGTGCCTAAGATCCCAGGAGGAGAATGGAGGAGAAAGGATTGTGGTGTGGCCATCCTCCCTCTCACTGTCTCTGTTTCTCTCTCTCTTTCCAGTGAGCGCACACATCCTATGGCAAAACCTCTTAAAAAATGTGATATGCAGGACAGCAGGTGACTTGGAGATTAGGCACTGTATCACGTATAGCCAACTTTGTGGTTTGAGTCCTGGACCCAGAGGCTTAAAAAACATGTTGGGTGCATATGTATGTAAGCCCCAAATCTTGAGAGAATGGAAGAGAAGGGCCATCCCCACTGATTTCTCACTTTATCTTTCTCTGTCTCTCTTCAGCAAGTGGACATGCCCTACAGCCAAAAACCTAAAAAAAAAAAAAGTTAGGTGCTTAAGTACAATGTGTGTTAGTGAGTGCCTCATGCTCCCTTCCCCATCCAATCCCAAATTTAGGTGTCCCTCCCATTAAGATGAAAAACTTCCAGAAAGCAAGAGAACCCATATTGAATTCCAGTCCTTATTCAATATAAGCAAATCACTTCAGATTCCGTGTTTCCATTTCTTCCTCTCTGTGTTAAAGGGGTTGTTAACCCAAAGTACTTCCTCTCCTAAGGTTCTCTAACTCTATGATTCTAACTCTAGGGAAAAAGCACCTAGCAACCCCAAGTAAGTACCTGGACAGAGCAGAACATTTCCCACATGAATAATACACTAAAGAGGTTTTCCTTCAACCGTTTTTAAAAAATATTTTAGTTTATTAATCCTCTCATGAAAAATCCGCATAATCACTGCAGATAGTCATTGCAGAATCTTTACTCCTTTGACTTTTTGCCAGCACCAACATTGGCCTTTGCAGTCCCCCTGACTTTCTTCATTCTGTTCTTGTGTTCCTTTCACTGTTTTCTTGACGTCTTTTTCTTCTCATAAAGGCCATGTCTTGCAAGTCTGTTTGGGTTCATTTTTCTTCACATAATCCAAAGAATCGTAAATCATGCCAAAGCCAGTTGTCTTGCTACCACCAAAATGGGTTCTGAACCCAAACACAAAGATGACATCTGGTGTGGTCTTGTACATCTTTGCTAGTTTTTCCCGAATTTCTGTCTTAGGTACTGTTGCCTTCCACGGGTGAAGGACATCAGTGACCATTTGTTTCCTCTGAAGTAGTCGGTTGGTCATGAATTTCCTGGTTTGGATAGTTACTGTGTCATTCATGATGGCGATATATCCTCAAGCAGCCAGGGACGAAAAGCTTCCTTCAACCATTTTGTTCAGCTGAAAAGAGTACCCTTGTGTACTTTTCTTCCCTTAGGAGATCACCAAGAGTAAACCACAGGACTCTCCAGAGAATGACTATATTTATTATTTTATTGCTACATTAGAAATGAAAACAAACTGTGAGAAGCTGCAAAAGCATGCAACTTCATGAAGATTATAGAGCAATGGAAGCACCCATTGTAGAAGGTTAAAATTAAATTATCCTGTAAATGGTACAAGGACTACATACACAATGGTCATCAATGGTGAGATTATTGACAGCATCTGCCATCTGGAATTTGTACACCAATGGGAAGTTTAAAATTGAACTTAAGGGAACATTGATCACCCCAACCTCTTAGCCAGGGAATATAGGTGAGAAGGCATTAGAAGATGCCTAACATCTATGCAAACACATAGGTTTACAAAAAACAAGCCTGAAGTCTAGCTTCTCAGGGAATTTGAAATTTGCTCT